ATAACATCTTTAATTAAATAATTCAACATCTACGCAGCGGAATTCTTAATAACATCTTTGTCATCATTACAGCAACTTCAAAACAACACAATTTAATAATAATCAACTTAAAGTTCAACAACTGAATAATCAACAATCAAAAGCAACAAGCGTTCATCCCCCCGAGTGTTACATATCAGAGCAATGACATCGACTCGAACTACTGAAGGTATACAGCCTTCACTCTCGATTACCTGCACGTTACCAACATAAGGGAAACATTCAAACAGAAGGGGTTAGATATCTAACAATATAATAAAGCGCATGATATTCAATATATTAAATTAAATCACATAACATCACCATTTCTCATCTCAAAATCAACAATAATCATAATACATTCACCACATCAATATACACTTCTTCATGCAGTCATATAATGCAACTCAAGACTATGCAAATGCATATGGTACCATTTGGAGCAGAACTCCCATCTCAAAATTGCCAATTAATAGAGGCATCAACAAGGCATAAGCCTTCATCTCAATATTCTCCAATACAGGCCATCTCAACGAGCACAAGCTCCATCTCAAAATGCAATGTATGCGACACAATCATGAATGTAATAACAACACCATCATTGACAACATCTCAAAAGAATCTCAACATCTCTTCATCAACATCTCATATCATCATAATAATTCATCAAACGTCATTTATTCATCAAACATAATTTATTTCATCAAACATCATTTGTTCGTCATAAATTATCAAACACAACTTCATTAAAAACATCTCATCAACAACTTAGCGGTACATTAATACTACCGTAACTCTTACTGATATTCTGTAATCTTACATCATTACTGTCATTACTCCTACTGTTACAAATCAAACAACAGCCTATAAACATTTCATCTTCATCATTCTGCATAAAATCAACGTAAAAATCAACACGGGAACTAACTCTAAATCCTAAATTGGCTACTAGTATTACACTTCCTATCCCTCATTTTAATCCTCAAGATTAAAGCTCATGGCGTTAGCTATTCAACGCTTCGAACGGCACCTCAAACGACATCCTAAAACTCAAGTTACAACATCTTCAAAATGATTCTGCCAACAAGGAAACAAACACCATGAGTCGATGCATAACTCCTTGGATCGACGCGTACTGCACTGAATTCGCAACATGAGTCGATGCATTCCCTCATGTATCGACTCATCCTGAGTCTAACACACCGCATGTATCGACACATGCTCTCATGGATCAACTCATCCTGTGTCTAAAAGCACTCATGTATCGACACAAAACCTCTTTGTGTCGACTCATCCCGAGTCTCAAAACCTTCTTGTATCGACACATCATGTTTGAGGTCGACACATCCTGTTACATCCTGCATAAATTCTACGATTTCCTCTGCGTTTTCACTAAGGGTTTCATATTTTAAGCCCTAAAAACTTAATCCAATCGTAGGAAATCATCACTCACCATTACCTTATAATTCTACATCAATTAAACAACATCTGGACATCATCATTCATCTATAATTCATCAATTTCACATCATACAACATCATAAACACTCAATTCATGAACAAGACAACAATCACCTCTAACCCCACATACCAATCATCATGAACCCAATTATAGAGTCAGAACCCCACCCTTACCTTGAATTGAAGGTCGCTCTATAATCTTCCGGTTGAAACCTTGTTCTGCCGTTCTTCCTGTTTTTCCAGCAGCTTCACGTTCTTCTTCTCAATCCTTATTCTTCTACTGCCTCTTCTTTCTATTCTTTCTAACAATACTAAAAATAACCCTATTATTCTTTTTACTCCGTATTGGGCTTACAACTAATACACCCCCTTATTACTTTTATTCCTTTAAAACAAACCCACATCAAATAATATTATACTTCTAATATTATTTCTCCACTTAATACAATAATTAAATCCAATTAATCACAATACAACTTCACAAATATTCCAAAAATAATTTAATTAAATAATTAATTAAATTACGGGCGTTACAGAAGACAACAAAAAGGATAAGTTAAAAGGTATATGCTATAAATACGGAAAATCGGGTCATTATAGACGGAATAGTCCTTCATTTGCTAAGAAGAAAGGAAAGGGTCAATGAAACAACTTCAAAAATTCCAAACAAGCCTATGTGGCTTGGGATAGTGATAGTGATGCCTCAATAAATGAAAGCTCAGGTGAGAGTGGTGAAGAGGAAAACTATTATTCCAAGTAAAATCATCGTCAAAGCAAGAAAAAGGATGTAAGTCATTCTATATACTCAAACATTGCAAATTTATCGTTTAATGAGTTGAAAAATCAATTTGAAAACTTACCAAAAGAGTCTTCATATGCTAACAAAAAGTTGGTATCCAAAGAATTTTTTTTTACATACTTAAAGGCCAAGGTTGAAGAAACAAATGAAAAATTTGATTCATTAAAGAAACTCATTGTAAATGGTTCAAATTGTGTAAAGGATAATGAACAATCTTCTATATATGGATATGAAACATGTCAAATTTGACATCAAGAAGCGAATGCTCTTGAAACCAAGTTGAACGAAATACATCATCCTACTCACACCATTGCTATTGAATGCTCAAAGGTTGAAAAGCCTCATAATATATATAAATTGATTAAAGAAAAGTATAATAGCATAAGTGATTATATTCATAAACTATTTTGTTCACTATTGACGAAAAAAGGGACAAACTATTGAAAAATGCAAGTTTAGGTGCTTTTTGGTTCCTAAAGGAAATTTCCAATGGTTACCTAAAAGCAACAATTATTTAACTTACTCTCAAGGACTCAATGAGAATTGGGTACCTACTACTCTTGTTTGATTCTTGTAGGATGAGTTTCTTGATGCTATACGGGAAAATGGATTCTCGATAGTGGATATTCAAGACACATGACGGGAGACATATCTCTCTTCTCCGACTTTGTGGTGAATAATAAAGGATTTGTATCCTACAGTGATCACAACAAAGGTGTGATACTTGGAAAAGGTAACATAGGTAATCCCCTAACTATTACTATCTCAAATGTTATGCTAGTAGAAGGACTTAGGCATAGCCTTCTTAATATTAGTCAATCATGTGATAATATGATTATTAAGTAACTTTTACCAATGACTATTGTATAATTGAACATAATGAAAAGTAGGATTGTATATTTAGGGGGTGTAAGGGTTAGTAATATCTATACGCTTGATCTAAGGGAAATATCCTAGAATAATATCCAATATCTTGCTACCTTGAGTGAAGACTCTTAGTTATGACATAGACGTTTGGCTCATGTCAACTTTGATCTACTTAACATAATTGTTGCAAAATATTTAGTAGTTGGTCTACCAAAGATGAATTTTTCAAAAAACCATCTATGTGATGCTTGTCAAAAGGGTAAGCAAACAAGGGTCTCTTTTAAATAAAAAAAATATTGTTTCAACATCAAGATCACTTGAGCTCCTTCACAAGGATTTATTTGGTCCCTCATAGACTAAAAGCATAAGTGGTAATTACTATGGTCTCGTAATCGTAGATGACTATTCAAGACTTTGTTGGACATTTTCTTATGTAGCAAAGATGAAACATTCTCGGCTTTCACAAATTTTTCCAAGTTATCTCAAAACAAATTAAATTCAAAAATTGTTTTCATTCGAAATGATCATGGAGGTGAATTTGAGAATCACTTATTTGAAGAAAATTGTGATAAATCTGGTATTGAACATAACTTTTCATCTCCTAGAACTCCACAACGAAATGGTGTTGTGGAACATAAAAATTGTATTCTAGCGTAGTTGGCAAGAACAATTCTCAATGATTATGGTCTACCAAAATACTTTTGGATCGATGCTATTAGCACGACTTGTTATGTCTTGAATAAGATACTTATTCATTCCATTCTTGATAAAACTGCATATGAACTCTTGAAAGGTAGAAAACAAAATTTATCTTATCTTCATGTCTTTGGATGCAAATATTTTGTTTTAAATAATGGAAAAGATAATATTAGAAAATTTGATGCGAAAGCCGATGAAAGTGTCTTTCTTGGAGACTCTCTATTTAGTAAGACATATAGAGTTTATAACAAAAGATTACTTATTGTTGAAGAGTTCTTCCATGTTACTTTTGATGAGACCTACCCAAATAGTATTGGGAAATGTAGTTCTTTTCATAGTGTAAGTGCATATGCATAAGACATACTCAAAGATACCGATAAATGTATTGATCAACCTAACTTAGTAGATGTTGAGAAGGGTGAAGATGACAACCTAAAAATGAAAAATGATGAAGGACATGAAGAAAATGATGATCTTCCATTGGAGTGGAGAGCCTCCAAGGATCATCCAATCGACAATATTATTGGTGATATCACCAAAGAGGTAACGACTCGTTCTAAAATAAGTAATTTTTGTTATCATCATGCATATGTCTCACAAGTTGAACCTAAAAACGCTAAGGATGCCTTACTTGATGAACATTGGCTTATGGCCAAGCAAGAAGAATTAAATCAATTTGAAAGAAATGACGTTTAGAAACTTGTCCCTCGTCCACAAAATCATCAAATTATAGGCACTCAATGGGTCTTTAGGAATAAGCTTGATGAACATGGTGTGATAACAAGAAATAAGACATGTTGTTATACCCAATTTTTTACCCCTAATATGTTTAGTCATAATATCATGTGCATTTACATCATAAACCATTCATTCATTTGAGCTTCTAAAACAAGGAATCAAAAGACTCTTGACATTAGGATTTTTCCCTATGAATGGAGGTTGCTACCATTTCTCAAGCTAGTTCAATTAGTTCATTCATCTCTCTCGATATGAAACTAGGGTTGTAGATCACAAGCATCATGCCTACCTTTCTTGGCAAAATTCCTCAATGCTACAAGACTATCTTCATCAAGATAAATCAAGGATGAAGATCATCAAAGGTTGGAAGTTTCTCCATTACTCATTCACTTCCAAATTCAAGCAAAGTTAGAAGGTTTATGTATTTGAATTATTTGGAATATAAGGCAATCATCAAAGTTCAAACGACATTTAAAGTTTTCAAGTATCTTTCAAGCCCATGTTCAAGGTTCAATTTTCAAAGAACAAATGTCATCCAATATGCTACTTTCAAATGGTCAAAAATACATTCTTGGTTCACTCATTTCAATGTCCAATTGCAAATATTACTCATCAAAGTCAAGTCACAAGATTGTTTCAACTACATTCTTTACTTTTCTAAGTACCAAGTCCAAGTTTCAAATCCAAAAATATCATTACAAAATGAACAGGAAGTTTACAAGTCCTTACATCATACAAAAAAAAAACATGAATCTAAATCTAAGACTATGCTAAATTTCCTTTCGAACTCTTCATTTTCTTCAATCCATTTTCCATCATCGTGTCCACGACAAGTCAGTTTACGTTGATCTTGCATCAGGCCTGTCCCAAATTGATCAGAAGCAGCTCTAAAACCAGGGCCCTATATTTGATAAACAGCCCTGCACATATTGATTAACACCTTAAGTCAAAACCAGTTGATACCAGTTCATTAAACCATTCACACATCAATAAGCCATAAAACTGTTAGGTTAGACGTGGTATCTTTTAGTTGTTTAGTGCAGAAATAAACTCCTACCTTTTAGGAGGTAGTTTTGAGAGACTAGTTCAAAATTGTTTTAAATTATGCGTGTAACAAACTCCACTATTCAAGTGCAGTTTATTTTTGTAAGGCTATTTAAAAGCCAAAGCTTTCATAATAAACTTAAGGAATTGATTCCTACTTCTAGTGTGACTGATTTATTGAGTGCAACAAATCTGGTATCAAGAGCTTCAAAAAAGCCTGGCCTGTGTGAAAAAAAAGGGAAGAAAGAGTGAAACAAAGTGAGTGAAAATCAGTACATGATGAGTGAAAGCAGTAGCTTTGCGCAACCAAGCATTCCCAAGTTTGACGGGGATTATGATCACTGGAGTCTCCTCATGGAGAACCTTCTTAGGTCAAAAGAGTATTGGAGCGTGGTGCAAGCTGGCTTCGTTGAACCAGCAAATGAAGAAACCCTATCTGCAGTCCAAAAGAAGAATACTGATGAAGCTAGGTTAAAGGATCTAAAGGCCAAGAACTATCTGTTCAGTTCAATTGACAAGACCATCTTGAAGACAATCACTCAAAAGGAGACATCAAAACAGCTTTGGGATTCGATGAAAATCAAATATCAGGGAAACGCAAGGGTGAAACGAGCACAGCTGCAAACATTGCGTAGAAACTTTGAACTGTTGGACATGAAGCAAGGGGAGTCAGTCACAGAATATTTTGGTAGGGTTATGGTGGTTGCCAACGACATGAGGAATTGCGGAGAAGACATGCCAGACGTAAAAATTGTGGAGAAGATCTTGAGGACGCTCACGGAAAATTTCAATTACATTGTATGTTCGATTGAGGAGTCCAAAGATATTGACAATCTAACTGTAGATGCTTTACAAAGCTCACTGCTCGTTCATGAGCAGAAATTTAAGAAGACTACCAATGGAGGAGGAGAAGAACAAGTTCTAAAGATCTCACATGATGAACGTGGCAGAAGAGGCAGAGGAAACGTGATTCGAGGAAGGGGGAGAGGCAGAGGAAGGTCGTTAGACAGAGCACTCGTGGAGTGCTTTAAGTGTCATCAACTAGGGCACTTCCAATATGAATGTCCACAATGGGAAAGAAAAGCAAATTATGCAGAATTTGACGAAGAGGATGAGATGCTGTTGATGGTGGAGTCAAACAATGCCAAGAAAGAAGAGGTATGGTTCTTGGATTCAGGTTGTAGTAATCATATGTGTGGAAACAAATTCTGGTTTACAGATTTGGACGAAGACTATCGACATTCTGTAAAATTAGGAAACAATACTCGAATGGAAGTCACGGGAAGAGGAAATGTGCGGCTTAATATTGATGGAACAGTCCAAGTGGTGTCAAACGTTTACTACGTACCAGACTTAAAGAGTAATCTCCTCAGCATAGGCCAACTCCAAGAAAGAGGCCTCACTATTCTGATCAAACACGGTGTCTGCAAGATGTTTCATCCGAAGAGAGGGTTGATAATGCAAACATGGATGACGACAAACCGAATGTTTGCATTATTAGCAACAACAGTAGTCAAAGTTGCTGATACCCCTAGATGCATGCAGACCTCAATAAATGACGAGTCCCAGTTGTGGCACCGTAGGTACGGACATTTGAATTACAAAGGTTTGAGAACCTTGAAGTTCAGAAATATGGTGACAGGATTTCCGGAGTTAAAAGCAGCGACCAAAGCATGCACCAACTGTTTAGTAGGCAAGCAACACCGCAAAACCATTCCAAAGAAAAGTTCATGGCGTGCTTCAAGAAAATTGCAACTGGTACATTCAGACCTCTGTGGTCCAATTACTCCATCATCAAACAGTGATAGAAGATATATGATGACTCTCATTGATGACTACAGCAGAAAGGTATGGATTTATTTTTTGAAAGATAAATCTGAAGCTTTTACATTCTTTAAACATTATAAGAGTCAAGTTGAGAAGGAAAGTGGATCAATGATATGCTGCCTGCGAACCGACAGAGGAGGTGAATTTACCTCAGATGAATTTAATTTATTTTGTAAGGAGACTGGTATTACAAGACAACTTACAGCAGCCTATACACCACAACAGAACGGGATAGCAGAGCGCAAAAATCGGACGATTATGAATATGGTTCGATGTATTTTGAATGACAAAGGAGTGCCAAAGAGGTTTTGGCCTGAGGCTGCTAAATGGGCAGCACATGTGCTAAACAGGAGTCCAACATCAGTGACAAAGGAGAGAACACCAGAAGAAGTATGGAGTGAAGTGAAGCCAAATGTAGACTATTTCAGAGTCTTCGGTTGCTTAGCCCACATGCATGTTCCAGATCAAAGGAGAAAAAAACTTGACGATAAGAGCCTATGTTGTGTGCTACTTGGGGTAAGCAATGAGTCGAAAGCATACCGATTGTATAACCCAATAACACAAAAGATAATGATTAGTCGGGATGTGATTTTTGAGGAAGATGAAGGCTGGAATTGGGAGAAGGATATAAGTCGAGCAGAAGAAGAAAAACTAATTTGGGAAGATTGCGATGATGAGGCAGAGCATGAAGAACCTGATGTGGATGAAGGAGAAAACTCAATAGCATGCACAGGAGAAGCACAGAGAGGTACAAGAGTCAGAAAACCACCTTCTTACCTGCAAGAATATACCACAGGAGAAGAATTTTCAGATGAGGAAGAGGCTGGTAACTTTGTGATGTTTGCAGCCTTAGAAGATCCTACTTCATTTGAGCAAGCTGTGGTGGAAGAGAAGTGGAGGACAGCGATGGAAATTGAGCTGCAAGCCATTGAAAAAAACAATACGTGGGAACTAACTGAATTACCAGCCGGTGCAAAGAAGATAGGAGTTAAATGGGTGTTTAAAACTAAACTCAATGAGCATGGAGAAGTGGACAAGCACAAAGCCCGACTTGTAGCCAAGGGTTATGCACAACAACAAGGGATCGACTATAATGAGGTATTCGCACCGGTGGCGAGATGGGATACAATTCGTATGCTTCTATCTATAGCAGCTCAGAAAGAATGGAGAGTTTATCAACTTGATGTGAAAAGCGCCTTTTTGCACGGAGAGCTGGAAGAAGATGTATATGTAGAACAACCTTCGGGATACGTTCGAAGGGGAGAAGAGGAGAAAGTTTATAAACTTAGAAAGGCACTATATGGGCTAAAGCAGGCACCTCGCGCCTGGTACAGTAAGATTGAGGCGTATTTCATTAAAGAGGGGTTTCAAAGATGTGATTATGAGCATACACTCTTCATTAAGAAGGAAGGAAGCAATAAAATTCTTATCGTTAGCCTGTATGTTGATGATCTGATATTTACAGGAAATGATAACCTGATGTTTGCAAAGTTCAAATCCTCCATGAAGAAAGAGTTTGACATGACTGATTTAGGAAAGATGAAGTATTTCCTAGGTGTGGAAGTGATCCAAAAGAAAGAAGGGATATTTATCAGTCAGAAGAAGTATGCTGGAGAGTTGCTGGAAAAATTCAATCTTCACGAAGGAAATGCAGTTAAAAATCCAATTGTACCAGGTTCAAAATTATCGAAGGAGGGAGGTGGAGCTAAAGTTGATGCAACGCTGTATAAACAGCTGATTGGGAGTTTGATGTATATTACTGTCACACGGCCTGATTTAATGTATGTGGTTTGTCTCTTAAGCAGATATATGGCGGATCCTTCGGAACAGCACATGCAAGCTGCAAAAAGAGTATTGCGTTACTTAAAGGGAACTGCAGGTTTTGGAGTGATGTATAGGAAAGGAGTTCCTAATGAATTAGCTGCATACACAGATAGTGATTATGCAGGTGATGTAGATGACAGGAGAAGCACAAGTGGATATGTTTTTCTGTTAAGTGGAGGGGCTGTATCTTGGGCATCAAAGAAACAACCAGTGGTGACTTTGTCAACTACGGAAGCTGAGTTCATTGCAGCCGCTGCGTGTGCATGTCAATGTGTATGGATGCAAAGGATTTTGGAGCAGCTTGGTATGATTCAAGCTCGAAGTACTGTGATTATGTGTGACAATAGTTCAACTATAAAATTGTCAAAGAATCCGGTACTCCATGGGAGAAGCAAGCATATAGATATCAGGTTTCACTTTTTAAGAGATCTTGTGAGGGAAGAAGTCATCGAGCTGATTCATTGTGGAACAGAAGAACAACTCGCAGACATCATGACGAAGCCACTTAAGCTGGATGCATTCATGAAGTTAAGAGAAAAACTAGGAGTATGTGAGGGTATAAACTGATTGTGATAATAATCAGTTTAGGAGAGGCATTGTTAGGTTAGACGTGGTATCTTTTAGTTGTTTAGTGCAGAAATAAACTCCTACCTTTTAGGAGGTAGTTTTGAGAGACTAGTTCAAAATTGTTTTAAATTATGCGTGTAACAAACTCCACTATTCAAGTGCAGTTTATTTTTGTAAGGCTATTTAAAAGCCAAAGCTTTCATAATAAACTTAAGGAATTGATTCCTACTTCTAGTGTGACTGATTTATTGAGTGCAACAAAAACAATTTTAGAAAAATAAAATGAAAACCGAGGATCCATATCACTTGACAGAAAACCAAATTTAATCATATTTTCCTAACTTCCCTAATTATAACAGTTTCTTTTTTATGTCTTTTACTAACCCGTTTTACTAACCAGCATAAGAGAAATTAGAAAAAGAAACCAACAGAATTTCACTAGTGATTCCATTCAAAAAATTTAAAACTTCTAAATTGTCATAAGAGATGTTCTAAACTTCCAACTAACTGCTAAATTCATAAGAGAAAATCATAAGACAAAAAGAGATCCAATCCTCACCATCTATTTCTCTAACCGATTTTTCAA